ATGCCAGTCAGGCTAAAACACTGCAATATCACAGTGTGGGAAGAATAATACCAACAAGTGTCTTAAACTACATTCTAGGGAACAATACCTGGTCTGCTTCCAAAGCTGTTACCAAAACCCATTTGAAACAAATCAAAGTTGTAGGGATTCAGGAGGCTTTGACTTCATTAAAACCTTTCACTGGGGTAAATGAAATCCAAAACATGTAATCAACAAAGAGATGCACATTTAAACGATTTTAAATTCTGGGGTGCAAAAATCTAAGTTGAAAGCTTTACCTCTACTTATCAAGTAATAAACATCAACTATGACATTAAACTCAGTAATGCTTCTCCCTTTTTTTTTTTTTTTTTAAGCTTTTATTGTGAATTGAGTGATAGTTTACATGGGAGGGCATTGGTTTTGCCCTCATCCTATCTCGTTTCACTGTAATGATTATAATCCCCTCCATGCACCATCATTCAACAGTATTTGAATGATGTGCCTCTGGGTTTTTTTTTTTTTTTTTTTTAATGCACACATAAACATTCAGGAATATACAATCATTTAAACAACTAAAGGTCACATTCTGCAAGCCTGCCTCCTGGCCTACATATACCCTATATATCTTATGTTGTTGTTGTTGTTATGTGCCGTGGAGTCGGAACCGACTCATAGCGACCCTGTACAGGGTTTCCGAGGGTGTAAATCTTTACGGGAGTAGAAAGCCTCATCTTTCTCCCGCGGAGCAGCTGGTAGTTTCGAACTGCTGACCTTGCGGTTCACAACCCGAGTCGTAACCACTACATAGTGAGGAATGTTTTCTGACTATATTATGTGAGTCATACATATGAACTGCCCTATAAGCTCTGTTAGGGCAGGGACCATGTGTTGAGTGCCTTTCAGACTCTTTCCATGAGTCTAGAGTCCTCAGCTGCTCTATCTCTTCATGTCCTCGTCTCTGCCTCCATGTCTGGTGTCCCTGCTTCTCTGGATAGGGTCCCACATTCCACTCCTGCTCTTCTCCCTTGATGGTTCTAGGGTCCTCTGTTCCTGGAATATAAGATTAACTACTCCCCTTTTTTTGTTACAAAACTTCTACCTTTACAGTTGTGACCATAGTAATTAGTCATGAAAACAATTACTCACTATTGAATCATAAGACTCTTATCTCCATCTCCTTTCACCAGACCCTTCTAGACAAGATGAAAACTATTCAGTGGGGATTCTACCTTCCCCCACACACTCTGAAACTAAAGTACCTACTGACAACTTGTAAGTCAGCCACTTTAAGCTTTTATAGGCCCCCATTTTAGGTAGCCAATGTCTAAGTTGCCCGTCCCTATTAAACTGTGTGTAAAGCAGATAGGTTTAATCCTTGATGTGAAGACTCCTTCCTGCTCAACTGGTATTTTGAGCTACTACATCCATAAGTATAGGTCAAGTTCATTCAATTGTAGCAATTTACAGTTGTTTCCTTTATCGAAATTTCTTTATTTTCCTATAGTCGAGTTCTGATCATCAAGCCTTGAAGCTAGGTCAAATAGGAACTATCTGCAAGTTTGGGCATTCTAGTATGTCTCCCCTCACTTCATATCAGCTAGATGCTTCACTCTCAGCTCTAGCCCTCCATGGGCTCAGGAGTTCCCAGGTCTCACCACACTTCAGATCAACCAGCCCTTTCTCTTCTTTCTTTCATCTCCAGATTGACCAGTCTATGGAACACCCACACTACTTTTTAAGGTGTCTAGAACCCACAAAAGCATTATGAAGGTAATTTCTTCTTCTTCTTTGGTCCCTTTTAACTAAGAGTATGTGAAAGTGATCACTTAAAAAAGAAAAAACCAGGCCTGTTCTGGCCCCCAGCAAAGCAGCTTCTCCTGGCCCAAGGAACTTTGGATGGGTGAGTTCCTCTGAAGCTGGTAGCCTTATAACCAGACAATGCCAATGCCTCTCCTCTTAGGTCAGACCAGCAGTATGGTATTTGTGGAACTCAGGAGCTCAAGGGTCAGCTTCTATAGCTGAGTTGTTATTGTTGGTAAGTGCTGTCAAGTCAGGTTCTGACTTATTTCCAAGGTGCAGCTGGTGGGTTTTAAGCACTGAATTTGTAGTTAGCAGTCCAGTGCTTATCCTACAGCACCACACTAGGGCTAAGTAGTTGTTACCATTTCAATTAAAGCTCCTTTTCATGAGTTGATTCTCTTTTATTCACACTATGTCTTTCATCCTTTAACTCCAACCCTGGCACCTTCTCTCTTTTTCTCTCTCACAGCCTACCATCCAATCTCCCTGCTTCCTTGTGGCTGGCTCACTGTCTCTCCCACAGAGGTAGGGTGGAGAGACCCTGAGACAATCTGGTGTAAATCACTCTGCAGTAGTTAGTGCTGTAGCAAGCACAAAGAAGGCATCTGAATGCTGGTTTCTTGCACCCATCTAGCTACTAAGATACTTTGTGCAAAGGAGCAAAGGCAAGAAAATAGGGCTGTTAGGTAAGCAGTAAGTGAGCAGTGTAATGTATGATATGTACATTCTGTTCACTTGGGTTCAACAGGCATTTGGGGAACATCCATGATGTACACTAGAGATTGATGTTGTTGTTAAGTGCCGTGGAGTCAGTTCCAACTCATAGCGACTCTGAGGAGCAGCTGGTGGGTTTGAACTGCCGATCTTGTGGTTCTCAGTCCAGTGGTTATCCTGCAGCACCACACCAGTGTGAGACCGTATATAATGCTTAGGTATAAATGACTGGTGCAGAGGTTTGCAATCCTGGATGCACTTGAGAATTATCTGAGCAAAAAACAAAAACAACGTCTAAGACTTCACATGAGAGCATCTGATGTAACTGATGGAAGGAGGAGGGCGCAGGCACAGGTATTTTTAAAAAGCTCCCCAGGAGTGATTTGTACAGCCAGGGGTAAGAACTTTAATTTTTAAAAAATTCTGAGTAAAGGCTGCCTTTAGATTTTAGGTGACTGCAGGTTTTTGAGAAGACAGGAAGCCCCATATTAGCTGTACTGTGAGGAACTTCTGATGGTGCTCAACAGAACATAGTAGAATGAAGAAACTGGAAACAAAGGGGAAAAGCTGCTACCGCAATAGTCCAAGTTGTTAAGTGCCATTGAAGTCAAGTGCATTAACCCCCAGTGCTACACCAGGGCTCCCGAGTAGGTTGTTATTGGTGATTATGTGTCGTGGAGTCAATTCCAACTCATAATGACCCTGTATAGGGTTTCTGAGGCTGTAACTCTATACAGGAACAGAAAGCCTCACCATTCTCCTACTGAACAGCTGGTAGTTTTAAACTGCTGACCTTGAGGTTAGTAGCCTGACTCTAACCGCTATACTACCAGAGCTTATAGTCCAAGGAAGAGGTAATAAAGTCCTCAACTACATCGAAGTCTTGGGAATGAGGAAAAGGGTATGAAGGTCCAGGAGAGTATAGGACTGTAATTTCAGGACTGTTTAGGGCACAGTGGAACAGTCCAACTGCCTCTGGAGTGACAGCAGGAAAAAGAAGGGAGTAACTAGGGAGCCGCTCCTGTGTCCAGACCTGTTGTATTACTAAGTGCCACCATGTCTGTTCCAATTCCTAGTAATCCTGCATAAGGTTCTGAGGAGTGGCTGATGGGTTTGATCCACTGACTGCTCAGTTAGCAGTCCAGTGCTAATCCTCTAGTGCCACACCAGAACTCCATGGCCCCCAATTATGACCTACAACAGCAATCACAACAATAACTGCAAAAGAAAGAATTTCAAAACCGTGGGAGTTAAGTGCTCAAGAAACACAGTATACAGGGTTTAAGCTTTGGGGAATATTCTAGAACCATTAACTTAAGCAGTCAAGAAAAGACCAAATAGATTCAGGAAACATTTTAAAAAGAAACAAAACTTTTATACATGCGCAAACTGTTTTCCCCACAAGAATTCCGATACAGTGAGCAACCTTTCTTCTCCTACCCAATTTATTTACTCTCCCCCTTTTGTCACCAGAAGTTGTCACCAAAGAAATAAAAATGGAGACTCAACTGTAGCTTACATCAGAGGTGCTTATATCAGAAGTGCTTATGTCATAAAAGCCAAGCCCACAAAATAAAATGAAGAAGGGTGGCTAGGGAGTGTACTAGTTTATTTGGAGTGTAACCTGGCACTCCATATACTACTACATTAACCCTACGTGGGAAGCTTTGAGGGAGTAGGAGAGAAGTGAGTAGCACGAGTCACTTGAGACAGCACCAGAGACGACTTCATAAAAGATGGCAACAGAGAAAAAACATTGAATAGTTAAAAGTGAATGGAGACACACCTGCAATGTCAGAACAGCTCAAATTCTCCAGTTCTCCCTCACCTTTCCCCAAACCAATAGGCCTTGTATTTAACCTGTTTCTTCAAGGCTTGATCCAACACACACACATACACACACACATACACAAATTAGTTCATTGTTATTTTATTGGAGAGGAAAAATATCCTAAAATATCTGTTAAATAACAATCATTCCTGACAAAATACTACCTTGGGTTTGAAGCCTCACCATCTGCTCAGATGCAGTGAGCCGTCAATCCCCCTTACCCTTGTAATGAGCTCCATTAATTCTGCCATAAACAGCAAGGAAACCTGAAAGATTTTCTACATGACTTCCAAGTTTCTGCACAGCTGGTCTTATTTAGTTCAAAGGTAAACAATACACAAACTGGCAGAGAAGTCAGGCTAGCTGAGAGAAAAAATGTTAGCAATTGGTGATGCTAGAATAACTGGTATACGGGCATTCATTATACTATTCTTTCAACTTAGTGTTTCAAATTTGCATTACGGGCAGATTGAAAAGCTGCTTTAATGCAATTCATGCTTTACCCCAGACTTGCCGAAAAAATATATGCAATGATTTTTTTATCCCCCAAATCAGAAATAGAAAATCAGTTTTCCCCAAGTGATGCCTGCTTTCTATTTTGTCTCAAAAAGCTTCCAAACCTTTGTGGAAATTTTAAATCAAGGAGGTACAGTACACTGATATGGTGTTATAGTTCTTGGAAGAAGTTTGGGTCAAAAATCTCATCGAAGGTCTGTGATGGTCACTGCTCTGTCCACCACTGTCACATGGCTGCAGCTCTGTGTCAGGGAAAAAAGAAGAAAAGTGAAGCCCTTGAAACACTCTGAAAAGTCATTTTTTAAAACTCTTCATTTAAAATGCTTATTCTAGGCCAACAGCATCCAGTCTGGAAGCCAGACTCCTGAGAGGCCACTAAGTTATTGTGAGGGGTCTAGAAAGACATACTCCCACTCATGCCTACCTGTAGATTGAATCAGTGCCTGCCCAAATACCTCTAGTTTCAAATGTAGGTACAAGGGGGCTTCAAAAAGTTAGTGGAAAAATTCCATTATCTTTTAATTTTATTGCTCCACATACTTTTTGAAGTCCCCTCTATTCTAGTCATTTGTAAATAAGCATCTATTTAAAAGTATTGCTACATTCATGATGGTCTTTTGATCATTAATATCAATCAACAAATAATAAAATATACCTACTTTCACACCAAGACTCCTGGATTTCGAACCACAATGTTGGTAGTTCAAATCCACCAGCTGCTCCTTGGGAACCCTCTACAGGGTCACTATGGGTCAGAACCAACTCTATGACACTTAACAACAACTCTCACAGAGGACATAATGACTTTTGGCATGCGCAGGAGGTCTTATAAATGTAAGTCTGGCCATTGGCATCCCAGCCTCTTTTCTTGATTGTATAGCTTCTATTTTAACATCCTGGTACTAAGAATTTTATTACATCCTCAAGCAGGCCAACAGTTTTTAAGAAAACAGATCTGCCTAAAAGCTCTTCCTTACACTGAGCTGAAAGCTGTCCTTCTACAAGGTTCTAGTTTTAGTCCTTAGAATCATGTGAAAATATAGCCACTGCTTTTTTAATACAACTTTTCTCTAACACCTAAAGTCAGCTTTCACGTTCCCTGTTAGGGTTCTCCTTCTAAACATCGTCAGTTCCTTTTTATGTGGCAAGGTCCTGAGAGTCTTGTCCAAGTTGGCCACTTTTTCTGGACTCACAATGGAAGAGTCCTGAACAGTATGGAATTAGATCTGAGAGGCAGCTGTCACACATCATTGAAACATATCAATAAAACTTTCCACTCACAGAACACAATTTACATAAAGAACAACTTCCTAGAAAGCTTAGAGGGTCCCTTTTATCTAAGCAAATTATAGAATCAAATATACTTCTGTCTCTATGGTTAAGGTAAATTCATGTAATATGAAATTAACCATTTTAAAGTATTCAGTACATTGGCAATGTCATGTAATCACCTCTATCTAGTTCCAAAATAGTTTCATCACCCCACAGGGAAACCCCATCCCCATTAGGCAATTACTCCCCATTCTCCTCTCCCCCAGGCCCTGGCAATCACTTAGTCTGCTTTCTGCTTTTATGGATTTCCCTGCTCTGGATGTCTCACATAAAAATGGAGGCATATGATATGTATCTTTTGTGTCTGGCTTCTTTCTCACAACATAATGTTGTCAAGGTTCCTCCACACTGCAGCCATGTATCAGTACTTCACTCCTTTTCATGGCTGAGCTTTTCCCTTTGCATTCTAATCTCTTATTGAAGTACAGACTTAGCAACTGATGTTGACAAAGAAACTTACATTTCTTTATAAACAGGCAGTGTGCTGAGTACTTCCTGTACATTACTTAATTTTCTAAAAACTTGACCAAGTTAGTAGTATTAGGACTATCATCCCCATTTCACAGTTGAGCACACAGACCCAGGGGGTTTAAAGACAGTCAGTCATTTAAGTGGCAGGCAGACTCAAATCCACTCCTGTCCACACTGCTTCCCCTCTGTGTCCCTATCGTAAGATTCATATTCTACACAGGTCAGAGAGAATGGTGTACTTCACCAGGTCTGAGCTTCCTCCCTGCTGGAAACAGCTCCATTCTCCTCAACACAGATACTTACACAGAACAGAGGTGGATCCTTGCTGTGTGGATGAAATCCTTTCTGGCGACAGGAAGAAATCTCCTCTAGTCCATGGTCTGTTAGTTTAAAGAATCCAGTTCTGAAATGAGAATATGAAGACCAGAGTTAAGTAAAGGTATTCCTCTATTCCTAAAACACATCTGGACACAGATACACACACACATACACACACCAGAGACTGGCTCTGCTCTACAAATGCAGAGCTCATTTTGAGACAACTTCTAAATTCTGAGACCTTTTCCATATTGGACACTTTTTTTCTGAATTCAAAATGGCTAATATAGAGACAGACTCGTCGTATGGTGCTGTAGGATCAGCACTGGACTGCGAACCACAAAGTCTGCTGTTCAAACCCACCAGCTGCTCCTCAGAAACCCCAAACAGGGTCACTATGAGTCAGAACCAACTCGACAACACTTAACAACAACAATATGGAGGAGGCCTGACTAGCATAGAGTGAAGCAAGGCTAACTCATTATATCTGGGGGACAGTCATAGCACATCATTGAAACACAGGACCTTATCATCAACAAAGCTTTGATAGAATGCCTAATATGTACAGGATGTTGGCTCATAGGTCTCTTCTCTAGCAAATCAATCAGCTAGAGGATGACTCACTGCCCCCACTCACTCTGCTGAGAGAACTCACAGTAAATGGTAGCATTTGGAATGAAAAAGAAGTAACACTCGGTGATAATCTGTCTGATTTCTAAATTTTCTAACTAGGTATCACTCTCCTGCAATTTCTTTTACTGCAAGTCAAGTATTTCAAATTTCTTGTCAATATTCTTTTAGAAAAGCACACTGCAAGCTGTTGTTTGGGTATCTTTTAAGACAAGCATAGTTGTTTTTATCAGGCTATGGGCTTATTGTTGTTGTTAAGTGCCATTGAGTCAGTTCCCAATCACAGTGACCCTATATAGGGCTTCCGAGGAACAGGTGGTGGGTTTGAACCACTGACTTGGCAGTGTTTATTCTATAGTACCACATCAAGATTCCTTATGGGATTATCAGAGGAGCAAATTAATCCCATAATCTATATTTCTTTAAGAGGATAAACAGGGAAGGACCCTATTAAGTTATGACCTTTTCTGGACCTTCCCCACTTACTTCCTTGGAACACCCTGCCCAGCTCCCTGGTACTCACTCCTGGAACTTGGGGGAGCAGACAATGGCTATGGATTCTGGCAGCATCATCTGGTAGGAGCAGTGAGTGTGTAGGTCAACACTGGAGAGGAAGGCAGTCTGTGTGGGATGAGTCTGAGAAGAAAGAAAGTCAGAGCACCTTTGGTGAGGGATACACAGCCACACACAGTCCATGAAGAACGATCGAGACAAATGCCTCAGCAGCAGGCCACAATCTCCTGTTCAGGTACAAAGCCACATGCAGTCACAAGGGGTATGTCACAGGCTCATATTTAGCCATGAACTTCCTTCCAGCATTTGAACAAGTAGTTTGACATAAGTCTATAAAGAGACTCAGCATTTTTATTTGGCCATAAAGATTAGCTCCTCCAGTTCCTAAACATACCTGTCTAGACTCCAACCCCATTGAAATCAAGATCACCTAAAATGAGTTCCCTTCCCTTGAGATAATGGCTCTTAGTCATTCTTCAGGCCTAGAAAAGAACTCACTCCCATGGCTCAATTTTCAGTCAAACAATACACAACTCTAGAAAGGGAATAGTAACACTGTAGAAAAGAGGTATGCACACCTTAGAAAAAGAAATAAAAAATGACTTCCCTCAATTTTTCCAAATATCATCTCAAAAATTTCTGTTATTTTTCAATTTCATCTCTCTTCCTTCATTCTGTTTTGGAGGAGTAAGTTTTTCCCATCTATGAAGATGAACCCTATATTTTGTACTTCTGATTTAATGTTTTATCTCCACATTACTTTGTCTCTCCTTTCTTCTTACATCTCCACCAGTTCCCTTGGCATAAAAACATGTTCAGACAAGAACATGCAACATTGATGAGCATTAAAAATGTGCAAAAGAAGCAAGACAGAAAATAGTACATATTATATAACTGGTAGCACAGTGGTTACGAATTGGGCTGCTAACCTCAAGGTCAGCAGTTCGAAACTACCAGCTGTTCCATGGGAGAAAGATGAGGCTTTTTGCTCCTGTAAAGATTTACAGCCTCAGAAACCCTGTACAGGGTCACTATGAGTCGGAACTGACTCCATGGCATACCACTACAACCATTTATATAAAACTGAAAATCCGGCAAAACTAAACTGTAATGTTTACAGATGCACACTTAGGGTGTGAAACTTTAGCAAAGCAAAAAAGGAAACACCATAAAAGTCAGGAGAGAGACTACCCTTATTGGGAATGGAGTTATGACCAAGCAGGGTCTGCGGACAGGGGTCAGGTTCTATTTCTTGACCTAGGACGGTGTATGCATGATTTTGCTTAATGATTTATTAAGGTATACATATGGTTTATGCACATTTAAATCTACGTGTTATATTTCAGAATTTAAAAGTTTTCTGAAAACATATCAAAACAAAATACATGTTTAAGCCTTTCCATACTGAGTAATCAACCAAGTAACTGTTCTCTGGCCCTTGCTGCTCCTTAAGGTCCCTTCTCATCTCCTTTCACCTCTAACTAAGCTGCTCAAAAAAGTGTATGTCTCAACAATGCCACAACCTCAATACTCATGCCTCTTGAACCCTTACAATCTGGTGTCTCTCCCACCACTGCTTAAAACACGTGAAGTCGAGGTCACCAAACCCAATAAGCAGATATAAGTCTACAACATCTGCAGCAACTGACATGGGTAACAACTGGAAATTTCTTCTTAAAATATTTCTCCTCCTCTGGCTTTGGTCCCTTAAAACTACTACCTATACTCTGTTCTCTTACATCTTTCAGCTTCCTTACTGACTGCTCTATGTTCTTTTATGTAGGCTGTTATCCAAGTAACATGTGAGTCTTTTCTTGCTTGACACTCTTACTACTTCTCAAGGCTTCCAAGGTCAGTTCTGCACAGAGGATGCCCAGCTCTCTCTCCTACCTTGACCTTGCTCCCAAGTTCCAGCCTCACATTTCCAAATGGCTGATAACTACTTCCATCAATCTGATGTGTCACCAGTTCCTTAAGTTCAACATGCTTAGAACTAAACACATAAATACTCTTCTTACAAAGTTAAGTCCTCCTCCTGGAATCCCTATTTCTGGTTATGGGATGGGCATTGCCACCCCCGTGAGCCAGGCTTGAAATCTCTGACTCAGAACTGACTCCTCCCTTACTCATTGCCCAAATCATCTGAAATTGCTCTTACATTCAACTCCTCTTTCCAAAAAATACTGTCACCACCCTAGTTCTTATTATTAGATTTTGTTACCACACTAAACTCTTATTAAATAATCTCCCTGCCCCAATCTACCTTAAAACTGCCTTTGTGTTAAATTCTCTAGAGTCTGGCTTTTGATCATATCATTGCCCTTTCAGAGTTCTCCACTTAGTAAAAATCAGAACTTCCTGCCTAGTCATCATTCAAGACCCTTCAGAGCACAGCTTCAATCCTGTCTTTAAACTTATTTGTCACTGTTTCCTCATACAAACCATAAACCTCAGCAAACTGGATCACTCAAAGTTCCAGAAACACAGCCTGCCTATTACCTACATTGTCACCTTCACAAAGAATTCTTTTCTTTGCCCATCTCTATTTGTCAAAACATTACCTTCCTTTTAAGACCTATCTAAATGATCTCTTTCTTCATAGAACTTCTCTAGAATTCCCTAAAAATCAGGTATGATCCCTCCCTCCTCAGAAATCCAAGTACTTTGTTTACACCACTTAAGGTATTTAGCACATTCTGCTTCATGATAGTTATTCGTTGTCTATTCATTGAATGTCCTTCTTGTTGTTGTTAAGTACCATGGAGTTGGTTCCGACTCACAGTGACCCTGCACAGGGATTCCAAGGCTGTACATCTTTAAGGGAGCAGAATGCCTCATCTTTCTCCCATGGAACAGTGGGTAGTTTCGAACTGCTGACCTTGAGGTTGGCAGCCTAACTTGTAACCACTACGCTACCAGAGCTCCTTCACTGAATGTCTTAGATGACACTAAAATCATATCTTACTCAAATTTGTAAGAAACAATCCTTCTATCTCCCATCTACCATTGTGGGGGATACAAAATAATAGACAAACCTGTAAATATTTGTGGAAATGGATAGTCTCTGTCTTGAAGAAAAAAAGAGAAGGTACATGGAACTGTCTCACAGGGCAGTATTTTCCAAATTATGACCTACAATTATTTACACTCTTCTTCCCAAATCCTTAAACAAGTCAACTTGTTTGTATATAACTGTTATAAAAAGAAGCTTGGTCTGTGAAAGTTAGAGGTTGAAAAGGAACAGAAAGACAAATTAAGAATAATCTTTAAAAGAACAACTATATTCTACCTGAACAATACCATTAACTGCATAAAATATGTGGCTATTTCCACTATGGCTCTTCTGGTTCACAGAAAGGTATACACTATTTTAATAAAGACCAACTGCAAACATCTGAGTTTGCCCCCGTGGTTTATTGAGACTCTTTTAGGAACATCATTTCTATAAAGCAGGCACAGTTTATATAGTCGGTATTCACAGACATCCCAGGCCAATGTCTTATCAACATTCATACTCACGGGAAATAGGGCCTTTAGGAGAACTAATGTATTTTTATTTAATAAAGTTTTAAAGTCCTATATAGTTCCTTCCGTAAGGTCGGTGGTTCAAACTCACCAGTTTCCTCTTGGAAATTCTATACAGGGTGGCTGAGTTGGAACTGACTCGACAGTACTTAACAACAATAACAACAACAACATATACTTCCCAGGAAGCAACAATGGAATACAAGCAGTCAAGTATGCTAGCTACTGCATCCAAAAGAAGGATAAATAATCTGGATACAATTTACTTTTCTCAAAGGAAAAATAGTAATTAACAAAATCATGAGACAGGAGGAGACTAACTAACCCTCAGAGAGTTCAGAGTTGCTTACATGAATCCAGCCCAGTGTGATGAGACCCTGCTGGTCCTGTATCAGGAAGAGTTCTTCTTCATTCTCTGTGTTGCAATAATCAGACCCAGCACTTTGCTTGGGGATGAGAACGTGGGTAATGGTAAATTCATTCATCATCTGCCAAAAGAGAAAGCAGTTCATCACAATTCCATGGTACCTATGTAAACTCACCATGTCTTTGCAATGTAAGCTATACATCTACACCAGAGAAGGTCTGTGCTTAGTGCTACCCGAGTCCTTGCTCACAAGCAGTGCTGGGATGCCCTAGAAAGAGACCAATGCCACAGAACAGTAGCTGAAGTACAACTTGGATACAACTGACTGTTGCGTGGGAGTTTTCTATTGTTTACTTGGGGTTCTTGTGAAGAGCCAGTTATTGTAGCATTCTTTTTCTGCTCGTGTATAAAGTACTTTCCCATTCACACTGTTTCTCTAAGCTCTTCTCATCCATCAAGGCCCAGCTTAAGTCTACTCCATCTCCATTCAGCAACAGTTTGAAGACTAAGGTGAGCGTGATGCAGGTGATGCAATTTTCAATAGCCTCATATGCATATGAAAGTTGGATTGATGCATTTGAGCCATGATGTTGGAGTACAATATTAAAAGTACCAGACTGTTAGATGAATGATTTTTAGCACAGTGGCAATAGCAATGGGTTTAAGCACAACAGTTGTGAGTATGACTCAGGACCAGACAGTATTTTGATCTGTTGTGCACAGGGTCACTATGAATCAGAACCAACTTGATGGCAACTAAAAATAACAACAACCACCAACACCAAACCCATTGCCAGCAAGTTGATTAACACTCAGAGCAGTCCTATAGGACAGAGTAAATTGCCCTACAAGGTTTCCAAGGCTTTATGGAAGCAGACTACCACACCTTGCTCCTGAGGAGTAGTTGGTGGGTTTGAACCA